TCATTAATTGATTTGTCAGATATAAACTACCGTTCAAATGTATGGTGTTTGGTTATATAAGGATTACAAACAAGTAGGTCATATGATATTATGATTTTTTTATTAATAAGTATCAAGAAATAGCTTAAAATGTATCCAAAAATTGTACTTAAAGAGCAAAAAAAAAAACCGAAAAACTATTTTCATTCGTCATGCAAGTTGACTAAATTTTGATTCTAGGCTTTTGTTGAACAGGGCCAAGTCTAAATTTAATTTATCGGACCACTTTTTTTTTTGTGAAAATATTAAAAGTTAAAAAAAATACCTTCTCGGTTTCATATCAAACTAAAGATATTTGCAGCATAGTTTATTAGCCCCACACCTACATAACAAACGTCACAAGCAATAAAATCACTTTTTATAATGTATATTCTTTTTTTAACATCCTCTGCATCAATCACTTTTTCCATTTCCTACTTATGTAATATTCACAGGTTTGATATAGTATGTACATATACTTTGATTTTTGTGTTCAGAAGAAAAAATTCAAATAAATGATGAAAATATGCCCTTTTCGTTTATTTCGTGAAACAAAAATGTTATTTCGATATTAATAAAGGGAAAAAATTGAAACTAATCATGGTTTAAATTTAATTTCACATTTGAATGCTACAATACATGTTGATAGCCTCAGAATATTTTTAATTTAATATTACAGTAATAATAAATTAATAAGAAAAACAGAAGCGTTAACTATAATATCTTTATGATTTACTCAATTTTTTTTTTATCCAAGATTAATCAAAATCCGGTAAATATAAGCTAAAAATTATATACTATCTAAAGCCTAATCATGCAGTTCATTATTTGCAGATATTTTTAAATAATCATATCACAGCAGATCCAAACAGTATTCGGAACAAACAATCATTTAAAATTACCACCATTTAATCAGGATAAATTGAAATTAATCAGTTTACATTTAATGTGATACCTATCGGTGTACATGAAATAATTAAATTGTTCAATATTTATAACATAAAAAGGTGTTTTTATTTTAAACGAATTTATAGTTCAAACAAATAAATTAAAAAACTATTATTTTCTTTGTGGGAAATTTTAATGACACATTATACTTAGTAAGTATACACTAACAGTTTCGTTGAATAATTTATAACAACTTTGCAACATTTTAATTACAACGTTCATAGCGTACAAAAACTGTCAACCGTTCTGAGTATGTACTAAAAAGTAGCTTAAAAAAGCTTTCCTATAAAAAACTTTTTCAAATCAATTTGGTACTTGTCAAATATGAATTATGAGTAATACCCTCGTATTACCTGGAATCCCGTAGAATTGGCTTTTATCTCCGTTGGGGTTTATAACTGTCTTACATAGCTAATTAGTAGCAATCAAGTAAAATTACAATCTTTGTTATTATTATTACTCATTCTGGTATTTTACCCGTAAAAGCTAATCATTATCCCAGTATTGTTTGATCGACAGTAAGACAATGTACAAGCAGATTGCTAATTAGGCTTACGTGGTTTCTACACGCAAATTCAGAGAAAGTAATTTAAAACATGAAATTGAATATTGCCACGAGAAACGACGTTTAATGTTCACCATAATGTATTATTGTGCCTCGTGCGAGTTGTGTGCATGCTCGCAAAAGCCCAAAAGCAAGCACGACACACTATATAATACATAAATGCAGTTGTAGTGCAAAAGTACCCTAAAAAAAACATGGTTGGGTCGCTTTTGATTCCGTGTAAAATATTCAAAACATTACAAATCGTTTTTCGTTGTGTGTAGTGCAAAAGGGTGCCCAGCGGGGATTTATACTGTGTTGTTTTGTTTTTCTGCGTCGGCTTGATAAATTAGTATAAACCCGCCGCAAAGAACAATCTATTAATGTAATAATAGTATAATATATTATTTATATAAACTTAAATATTTGGCGCAAAACAAAGTGCTTTTTTAAAATAATATAAATATATATACTTAATATGCTACAACGATTATTTTCTCGGTAATCCATTTTTCATACCGTAATATAATACTGGAATGCATATTTTAGACTTCCGACCCTTATACGGCCAAACGAGCCGTCTGTTGCATTGCGGCAATGCAGTTTCCCACCATGCAGTTGTTGTATTGACGCTCCGGGGGATTGCCGTCGTGGTTTTTACCTATACCCATAGCCATTAGCCATCCCGGCTAAACGGCCCAGACAATAATTTAACGTCTCTCAAACTAATGCATTTTCAGTGAAATAAATAAACGCAAAACAACATTACAAACGTTAAATTATTATAACGATAATGCGAAGAGCAACGCAAAACGAGACTCAAAACATTTTAATATGATCCAAACAAGTATTTCGTCTCCTACAGTATGATTCCTTTTTTGTTTTTATTTCGAATGACAAATAGTGAGAGAACTGATTTACAATACTAATTGTTTTGTATATACAGTGCCCATGAGGGGGAACTGTTGACCATGTTAGACTTTCTTCCTATCGTATAATACAGGGTATTTTTTTTATCGTGAGCCACTCAATGTGATGTCATTGGGTTTAAATACTAATTGAATTTTTCTTTTGCATAGTGTTTTTAAACAATGTGATCCCAATATCTCACAAATTCTTATGTTTTTTACCCACTCCAAAACTAATTATTTTTACATTAACTTTTGAAACTTAAACGGTAACGTATACATTTTGTTAACTTTTAAAATTAAGAATATTTTACTAAACATTTTTACTGGTTCATAACCAGTTTTGGACAACTATTTTTAAAGTTATAAGAGATTAAAAGTTAGGACGGGGAAAAAGTGCGAGCAGATAAAAATAATACTACATTCTAGTTCTGGAAATAATTTAATTGTTCAGTAAATTATGTTTATATCATATATAATATGTTACGATCGATGAGTCATCTATTACATTAAATTAAAAATTTGTATTAGTTTAGCCATGGTTTCGTTTGATACTAATGTTAATTTTTTTTTATGTAAAATCTGTACTGCTTTTCTTTAAGGGCGTAATTAATGTTAACTTTGACGTTCAAACAGTTAAAAGCTAAATCATTCTGCATAGTACAAGCAACCCGTGAGAATAAAATGTAATTATGAAATTTCATTTTAAGCAAAATTTCAGGTAACTCTTGCGTTATTGTTATAGCCCTATCCGACGGCGTCTGGAATAGGCAATTTAGCTACACGGGCGAATGCGTGCTCTCTGCACGTTCGGCAACACCTCTGCAATCTTCTAATCCGTCGGATTACCTTTACCTTAAATCCGCTGGAAGAAAATCATTAAAAGTTTCCAGAACTTAGGTAATTAAGTTTTCACAAACAACTTATCGGCGGTCCATAGATCACATTGCATATTCATCAATTGAAACTAAATTGAGACCAACCTTATCTTAAACGTTAGTAATTGCTTTTATACTTTAGCAATATTCTTCAAAACAATTAACATTTTAAATAACAGCCATTTGTATACAACCGTTTCAAATAAACACTTTATCGTATTAGATTACCAAAAACAGTTTTGAGTGTTACAGATTAAGTACATTCTAATGTTAATTCCGAATCACGTGCACTCCTCATCTGCACTTCTCTGTTCACTTGTATATTTAAACACTAATAACAAATATATAATATCAGTTTTATTTGAATTTGTTTAGCTAAGACGATTATTTTTTATATATAAAGCTACGCTTGCATAAAATTCTGATCAACACGTACAGTCGATAAACCTTTTACACTAGTTACAAATTTAGGTCATGTTTAACTTAACCTAAACTTAGATATCCCTCGCAGAGTTCTCTAACAAATAACCATAAGGGGTTCAAAAAACTTTTTTATCCAAAATAACAATACCGATACTCTTATAGTCCTTTTATCAACTAAAAATATTATTCAGTCAATACTTGGGAGAGATAAAACTTATACAAAAATCCTTACTTTTCAAAAGAAAAGAACAACATACTAGTTTTTTTTCAATTTGAATTTATAAACACTAACTTCTAGTAAAGCTATGGAATCGGGATTTACTCTTTGATATTCCTTCTTTAGGCTGTAATAAATGTATATCGTTAACATAAAGTTCTTTGCGAGAACAGTTTCATTACTCATGAGTACACAGTATTTACATAAAATATACTCTACTATATCAAATTAAAAATATACTAGATAAATATTATTATAACGTATAAAATCCTATTTATTGTTGAATAATTGTATTCATAAAAAAATCGCCTAAATGACGTTTAATAGCATAAATGTCGGTAAATATTTTGCTTACACGGTACACCATAAATATATTCGAAAACATGAATAACATTTACTTGATTATGGCCCAATACAGCTGATATTGTATATGAAAAATGAAGATATTTAAAATATAAACACTGCTGTATGAACAACTTTTAATTATAATTTATAATCATAATTACAAAAATGTTGAAATGTATTCTAAAGGGAAATTTGTTATGCATTCATTACATAATTACTTTGCACATCAAGGAACTATAGAGTATAGATGACTATTTTATTATTTATTTAATTTGTGGTACAACATTTCTCTAAAGAAAACATTTACTATTTATTTTTTACATAAACCCTAATGAAGTTGTTTGGAATTGCGTAACGTGGTATACAATGTTGTAAGAGCTAAAATAAAATGTTTAAAATGTTCTCATACTGTTGTAAGAAGTTATCAGAAGTAAATGGAAATATTGTATTACTTTCGTCAGTATTACATTGTTTTTTTCTTTTTTAAAACAACACGGTTCCTAGAGAAAAAGCCAGATTAACGGTATTTTATCGGCTATTGCATTTCATACAAAGGCAGAGCTTATTTTAATTTTACTGTATAGATAACGATGTCATGTATCTATGTTTTTCTGCCAGGACGGTTTTTATTCGAGAAAAAACCTATATAATTAATGTGGATCAAACACTTTTGAATAATTAATTATTTTGTACTTTTTTTATCTTGTTTAATTGAGCAGCAAATTGTGACCTGGCTTAAAAACGGAGAACCCCGGAAATCGACCTCTTCAACGCCGCCCACATACACACTTAACATCGATTCGGTGCAAAAACATGACCAAGGTATCTATCAGTGTGTGGTCACCAACAAGCTGAATAACGAAATGGCTCAGTCTTTCGCCGAACTCCGTCTTAGTGGTAAGTGATCAACTGTTATAGTAGTTAGTTGAACAAATGAAAAAATGTGAGTTACGTTCGTTAGGTTCTCGACATTTTATATATATCTACCATTAAAAAAACAAAGTAAAGAAAAAAACCCACCTTTTCGGAGGAAAACATAGGTAATATTATGATATTTGTTTCAATATGACTGCTGGTCAACAGGGTTATATCTAAAAAAAAAACAATAAAACCAATACATTTTTTGCTTCACGCCAAAGCTAAAATGAATAATTATTTATTTATTTTGCAAACAACAGTACACAATCGGTAATAAAATTATACAGAAGTTTGCACACTTCCTGTAAGTGAAATTGCTATTATAGTGTAAAGGTAATAATTCAAATATATTAATTTTCTTATGATTTCTCGAGTTATCAACATGAAATCAAATTATTTTTAGTTATTTTATTTCAAAAAGTAGTAAGATAATACTTATTATCAAATGCTAGAACACTCTCATGTTGGCGTATGATCATTAAAGCGCTGTATGTCTTTTATGAAATGGAGAACGAACGCGTGGTAAATTCAATTTCCCATATTACCTTAAAATATTGTGTATGACTTATAATTGTATTTACTATGAAGCAAGTTACGTAAGGTCTGTAAATCAGACTCTGACCTACTTTCCTCTTATATTATGTACATGACTGTATATTTTGTAAACATCCTTTACTGTGTATGCGCTTCATTCCACCCATTCGGGCTAGAATATAATTATGGTCCCCTCTAGTCGGTATCTATAATACCTTAATAGTCATGCGATTATTGTATTTAAGTTCCACCGCAATTTCTAATTAGATGAAATCTCAACAATACAATACTACACACTATTCTATATATAATCCGACATTGTAATTTGCAATTTACTGAAAACAAAGCACGCACGAGTCGAACCACGAAAGACAGCTATTCGTAATACAAGAAAACCTTGGTATAGCCACTGACTGTAAAATATATAGCGACCACTTCATTTACCCACTTCGATTATCGTTAATGAACACAACTGCGGTTTTATTCGACATAAAATGGGGCATCAATAAAGTATATTTTGTAAAACATCTAAAATTATTGCTCGGTGTGCTTCTGGAATTGATATGATGTACATAATATATGTGGGAGCGTGCCTAATGCCGTGTAACATATTATAGTATTGCGTCGTTATTACATCTTGCCGCAGATATATAGCAAAATTATTAGTATAATACGGAATTAAATTTAAGTTGGCCTTTTAAGTTAAACCGACCGTCACATAATTTAGGTTGTATAAACGAAAAGCTCAGATTGGACATGTATAATATTATGTTCTACAGAAGGCCGGTACGATTGAAAGTTTTATTACTCTACTTTGCACATTAAATGTTGATCAGGCAGCACTCGGACAGAACGTTCACCGAACAATCTGCTATTTTCAGTGGCAATCCAAGTTCCATGGGATTTCTTTTGAGTACAAACTTAAACAGAATACCATAAGCCTCCTGTCTCTGGCTCTGTGCCGTTTTTTTCTTACACAAGAATACAGTCAATAACGGTGACAGCCTAACATCATATCCGTGTATTAACTTGTCCAAAGTTTGACAATAACGCAGCGAACAATAAGTGGATGATAGATGAAGTGGAGAATTTCAAAAGACGCACTGCTCGGATTACAGTTTAATAACTTAACCGCACGCCTGTAGCGTGTAGGTAACGGGCAAAGATCTTTTTCATCAATCTTTTGTCGTGCGCAACTTAAAGTTATCAAAGCTAATATCAATACTTTCTTTTGGCCACCGTAGCTCGCGTGCAAGATGAAATACGTTTAAAACCAGTAGACGGCAAAAGCTATATACTCTCTCACGCCTTACAAAGCCTATGACGTTTATTCACACCGGTGCACAGTGAAAGTATATAATTGACTTAGTTCAGATTTTTTTTTTTCAATTATAACAAAAATAAAAATTGAATTATTCTATTTTTAAACAACGATGGTCATAATATGATTTCGAATACTAAAAGACTGTATCCATGACGTATTATAAGATAAAAAAGAATAAATTAGTAACTGAAATTCGTTTACACAGAGTTTTTTTTATGTTTCATGAACTTTTAAAGGAAACAAACAAACGTCGCATTAAATTGATTATTAGTGTAAAATTATATTTATATATATATATATATATAATAAACTTTTTTTTAATTACTTGAGGTTTAATGACAGTTATAACTTAATTAGTTTGGTCGGGACGCATCGCGTTCTTGTATACCGAAATCATCTTCCAGAGAAAAATAATTATAACTTTCCATCAGATTAAATGTTATTATAAACCACAAATATTTTTTTTAAGGATCTCGGTCGATGTTGTTTAGATTTTCAACATAAATTATTTCATTTATTATTTAATTAAGTACAGTTGCACAAGAGCTACACTTTTTCGTATACAGTCTTTCGAGGTTAGGACCTATAATATTTTATTATAAAATAATATATATTATATTGTTTTACAGAATACCAAAGACCGATTTATATTTTCGTTGCAGTTTATAGTTTACTAGTAAACTTTGAATAGCTAAGTACCGATGTACAAACAATTATTGTGCCACATACTTAAGACAAAGATATTAGTTAAGCATACACCCGTTATTTAGTTACCGAACACAACTAATTTCTCCAAGGATAGTAATAATGTCATACGTTTAACGACAATAAATTATTAATTGTACAATTACAGTAATGAATGCTTTCCAACATCAACGACTCACAAATGCGGTAGTCGGTCTCATAGGCGGGATAAAATATTTTAGGACTTGTTTCACAGATTTTATATTCAAAACTTAACGACTCAGTGTTTTTGTGAAAGATATAGGCTAACACACAATATTTTTGAATATATTTTAAAAGGGTAAAAGGATAATAATTCGTATAAATCATTTATCATTAAATCCCAATTCAATTATTTTCTACTTTATTCAATGAACAAGAGTATCTAATTGTACATGATTTATTTAATTGCGATAAGTTTAAACTCACTAAAACTATGCTGATTTATCAGTGTTTAACGACCGTACAGTAAAACAATAGTAACTATTGTCTTATTCGTACCAGTTTCACTATAAAATGCGCCGTCATCAAAGTTATTCATTAGCAAAAACCATAACCTCTGATTCCTTGAAAATATATTGCATTTCTATGATAACCTAATGCTATTTGAATAAGCGGAAAGTCTTGGGAAAATTATGCTGAAACTTTGAACCAGAAAATCGTAGCCGAACAACCGCAAAGTTTGGGTTGTCCAAAATTGAGAGTACCCGATTATAATAAATCTGTGCGAAAATACTTAAAAAGTTTATTTAAACTTCTCGAGGTGTCACGAGACTACTAATTTTAGTGAAACGGCCATTAAAACGAAACGGTCAAACATAAAAAAAGATGGGAGGAGGATTTATCGTGACAACGTCAATATACAATCAAAATTTGTTATTAGGTATGCCTCCGTGATATTAAAATAGCTGTGGCGTTAGCTTAGTTCTAATTATAACTTTTTGTTATTTTGATTCTATGGCCGAATAAAAAATGATAACCTGACACCACGCCTGAACTTCGGTAATAATATACAAAGATTTACAATTTTTAAACACAAATATAATCTCCCTCACCTATAAAAACCGTACACTAACTGATTTTGAGATAATTATGTTCATTAACTATTTTTGCTGAAATCGTGACTTCATTTCGGCGGAAAACATTATATAGGAAAACCCGGAATGGTGGGCATTTGAGACATAAATAATACCTCATCTAAGAACAAAGTGTATTATAATTAATTACATAGAAAACATTTATAGCAAAAAGAATATCTAAACTCGTGTCAATCAATAGCGTTCTAAATAGTTTTTAAGAGACTAGTTTTTTAAGCTATTTAATAAAAAAGTATTTTAATAAACAGCATTTTTGAACGCATATTTGTTAACAAGAATTTTTTGCACATGTTATTATTTCTTTTTTAAATGAATTACACACATTATTTTTAAAAAAATAACAAATTATTAATACTGAACATTTTAGTGTGCCGGTGTACTAAACATTTTGATTAGTCAATAACCAGCTTTGAATAAATATTTTTGGAGTAACTAGCGTAAAAGAATGTAGGCAAAAGAATTAGTACACTAAAATAATAATTATATATGTGTGTACTACTCCAGGATACTTACTATCTAATATAAACATTCTTAAACGCTAATGAAACGTTTAAAGTATTTTACGAAAACTGCTTAACGATTGATCGATGAATCAATTGAAGTTTTTTTAGTCCTAATTAATAATTGTCCAATATATTATTCAAACTGTTTAACCTGTTTAAATTCGGTTATCGATTAATCACTATTGATAGAAGATTGTTGTTGTTGAACTATACTACACTAATATATTTGTCAACGATCTGAGCAAACAGTAAACCTTAAATTGTATTATTAATACATTATTGTAATTATATTATTGTATGAAAATAAGATTATTATGCTTTTATTTCTATATTATAATATTATCTATTGTTATATTTTTATCATTGATAATCCTGACATATTTGACAATTTTGCTATGCGAAACGCAACAATTTGGAATTTACATAAAAATATTAAACTTATTTTACATAAATAGTTTATAGGAATTAAAATTATTTACTTTTCATATCATACTATGTTATTACCTACATACACGCAAGGAATGTTTCACGGATGTTGCGGATTAGACTGCTTTTGATTAATAACTTACCCTTCTTCCGCTCCAATTAAATCCCTAGAAACAATGAGCTACAGACCGTCACGCTTCAGTTGCCACGATATCCAACCAGGTGAACACGTATTTGATGCATTCAGTTCGTATGAGAGAAGAATATTTAAATTATAATGTCAAGCGGAAATACTATACATAAACATTTTCAATCTAATCATTTTTAATCAAATTGATACTTCTATAGGTAGTTGTTTTACAAAGAAATGCG